TAAAATTACGAAAAAACAAAACAAAAGCTAAAATATTATTATCTTTATAAAAGAATAAAGACAAAAAGAAGTATCAAGTAATATAATATTACAGAAAATAGAAATTTGCATCATATTTAAGAATTATATAGAAAATAGTTATCCTATATTATTGCGTCATCGTATGAAAATGTATAGAAAAATAGAAAAAAAATGTTATTTTTTTTTTTTTTTTTTTTTTAAGTTTCAGTGAGGCCTTGTTTCAAATTTATTTATTAAGAAAATAGTAAGTTTTGCATTATTACATAATGTAAATATCTAACTTATCCTAATATTATTACAAAGATAGAACTCAGACTAATTCATATGAAACACGTCTGCAACCTACTGCCTGACAAGTAAACTTGCCCTCAGCATGTTAAGGCCTTGCTAATAAACCTATTTTATATACCCCCATCCAATTCACATTATTATGAATTATATTATTTATATATTTTTTAGATATATTTATACAAGTGTTCATTGTATTCTGTCTATTTATTTTATCAGTACTTTTTATGTTGCTATTATGATTACTAACGTTATTATCATTATTGTTATCATTATTGTCAGTGTTATTATTATTGTTTATTCGTGAAATTAGTTTTCACCCCTTTCTAGTTTTTATCTTATTATTAATTTCCCATTTTTTTACTTCTTTACAATGACGCCTCCAAATTTCTTTTTGTATATGGGATTTAAATTTAATCATGATTTCTCCTATTAGAATTTCTGTATTCGCCTAGAAAAAAAATGTTATAAAATATTTATAATCATCTTTTAATAATAAATTATATAAAAATTCAGAAAGTAATAAAATATTACGAAATGAAATTTTTCACAATATATATTGAATTACAATGAAAATGATTAAATTCGAAGTAATCTGAAAATGATAAACCTGAAACAAAATACGTTAAAATACTAGCTGTTGAATTTTGAAAGTTTACGTTATTGTTAAAAAATTTAGTATTGAACTTTGAAGGTTTTCGATAATGAAATAATACATATCAAAATTTAACTATTAAATTTCAATTTTGAAGAGTTGCGACACAATCGATAACCTTCAAAATCTAACGTTACGATATAATTTCGAAGGTTTTCGAATTAATATAATTACTGATGATGTATATTCTATAATACTATTTTGTTTTTTATTTTATTTTATTTTTCAAAATTATATAAAATTTAATTTCAGATACAAATATAATTACAACTTATTATATTTTATAATTGTATTTTACACAAGTCAAATACAAAAGAATTGTTGTATTGAAAATGAATTCTGATTTTAGTTAATTTATAATATAAAATACAATAGGACAGTTGATTTTTACTGATTTTTAGTTAATTTATAATATAGAAATTCTGAGTTTTTAATATAGAATTACCATTCTGTAAAGTATTATATTATGCACTTGACTTATTTGAAATTTTAACAACTACTATATCTATCTGTTATTTATTTATTATAATATTTTAAACTTTGTAAAGTTGTTTAACTTTAAAATTATTATTTAATGAAAGATTTTTTACTAAAAGTTTTAAAAAAATAGGATAATTAAGTTTAATTTATATTATTATTTTAAGATTTTTATTTTTGTATTTACTTTTTTTTTAAACAAGAAGTAGTAATTTAAATATTATCATTTTTTTTGTTGAGATTAAATTGTGTGTATTGTATTAAGAAATTTGTTATATCAAAATTCATTGTATATAAATTTCTTTATCTATATTTACAATAAACACAATGATCACAATGATTTGCAAAATAAAAACTAAAAAAAAACTAAAAAAACTCAGAATTCTTTGTTCATATTAAAAAATTTTTTTTTTGACTTAAATTTATTGGACAATTCCAATTTCAACAATCAATGGATAATTAATTTAATTGATGGATAATCAATTGAATTGTCCAATTGGACAATTTGCAATTCCAACATGGGTGAACTGGGAATGAGTCCATTGTATTTAGATATTTTATTGGTTAATTCAGATGACTTTTTACAAATGACCTAGTCATTTTGGTCAAGTCAATTGCAAAATGTCTCTTTTGAAATGACCCAAATGACTAGGTCATTCAAATGTCATTTTCCCTTACTGCGCGAGATCACATATACAAATATGATCGTTTTTCATTGTTTTTCAAAGAGATAAAATTTCTGAAAGAATTTATCAGTGATTTTGCACAACAAATATTCACGTAAAAATCAATTCAAAACAACTTGTAACAATATATATCAAAATATCTCATACCGGTGCTAGATATTTTTCTTGAATAATGTCCATGGCTAAAACTGAGAAGTAAGTATCAACAAAGTTTATAATTTTAAGGAAAAATGAGAAACAACACGATATTAAAAAAATGTATCGTGAAATAAACACAAAAAAAATATTGCCAAAAAAATAAAAAGCGCGAAAAAAAAAATATTAATATCTCTGCAAAAAAAATATTTTTTTAAAAGGAAACCCTCACCCAATGATTCCCGAGTCGCAAAATTAGCCATCAAAAAAGCCTCCCTTACCATTGAAGAAGTTCAACGAATACGTGGAAAATTTAGCAGAACCGATGTAGCCATAATTAATCAAGGTAAAATAGCTATTGGTATTTACAGGTTATTATTATACTTATATATTATTTGATTATTTACTTTTATTATAGATAGAAAGGCAGCAAGAAGATATTCTCCTTATATTTCGTCTCCATTGAATCCAAAGTAAGTGACTATTACTTTATATTGATTATATTGATTATTCTCTTTTTAATTATTTTATCTTTTTAATTATTATTAGTTCGAGAATTAGAGAAGTCTCCGGGAAAATAAGTAGGGCTTATTGGCATAAAAGTCGTAGACCTCCATTGAAAAATACAAACGTAAGTTAAATTTTTTGTTCATTTTTTTTTATAACAAATTCAATAATTATTTTACTTTAATTATTTTATTAAATCGTTACAGGTTAAATTATTAAAAATGGCTCTTTTTCATGCCAAACATTCGTATTAAGTCTATTTTTAATGAAATGATTGACAAGATGATGATTGACAAGATGATGATTAACAAGATTGTTAATTAATAAAAATTAAATTTTAACATTTAATCTTGGCTGGAATTTCTATAGATTTTCTTTGTCAATCACGTTATCACGTCTGATCAAATCGAAGTCGAAACCGATAAACCCGAATATCACGAATCTCTCGAAACATAATCTTCTTTGTTTCTTATTTCTTTTATTTCTTATTTATTCTTCTCTTTATTTATTACAAGAAAATAATAAAATAAAATAATAAATTTTCATTATCTCTTATGTGTTTTATTACTTTCATTTTATACATATCGTTACCAAATTCGGTTTCTTTTTTTTCAAATACTAACGTAATTAACGTATACATATATCGATTATTGATTTGTTGTTTCTCGGTGTCTTTAGAAGTTTACTACTTTATTCAAGTTTTTTTTTAAAAAAATAATAATATCATTTGGTCTTGATTGACAACGAGCCGTTTATATCTCGTTTTCTTGTTTTACAAAATTTAGATGCTATCAAATGAAAAAAGGTTTAAGATCACCCAGTCACTCACTAGGCAAAATTCGTCAACCCCTAACTTTGCCCACTGGTGAGCTTTAATATTTAATATTGTTGTTATTTGCCCCGTCTTATTTTACTATCCTTTCTTCTAGGTTTCATTTATTATTTTTTTTAATAGATAAATATGACTAAGATAACTATTATTCTTATTTTTGATAAATAAAAATTTCAATGTATCGGATAAACCATTGCATTTCTTTTATCCATTTAAAAATTTAGGTAACCAACTTTTAATAATTGTTGTGTGGCTTTAAAAATGATCATTTATGGTAAATTACTTTATTCAGAGAATAATATAAGTGTACAGGAAGAACAATTTGTACTCAAATGTATAAAAAATATTACAGTTCTCTTTTCACTTTATATAATAATAGGATTTTTTTTTCTCAATCCACATTTCCTTTTAATTCTCTTCAAAAAACAAAATCACTTGATACAAAAAAATTTTCTTATTCAGTTATGGCTACCCCAAAAAGTTTTTATGACTTGGAAGAAAAAAATATCAAAGGGATACCAGTTAAATTTAGTGAATATAAAGGAAAAGTAGTTCTGATTGTTAATGTGGCTTCAAAATGTGGATATACTAAACAATATAAACCTTTACAAGACCTTTATAAAAATTATAAGTCCGAGGGATTTGAAATCCTTGGATTTCCTTGTGATGAATTCGCAAATCAAGAACCTGGAAGTAACGAAGGTAATTTATATATAAATTTATATTTATTTATATCGTTCTTGATTTTCAATTTTTAATTCAATTTTTATGACAGAAATTGAAGCATTTGCCTGCGGAACGCATAAAGTAACTTTCCCATTGTTCCAAAAGATCAAGGTCAAGGGTTCCGATGCTTCACCCGTTTACCAATTCCTTAAGTCGCATAATCCCGGTGAAATTAAATGGAATTTTGAGAAATTTGTGATTGATCGTAAAGGAAATGTCAGGGGAAGATATTCGTCAGGCGATGTGGTTAGTTAGTTATTTATGATATTCAGTATTTTCTTGCAATTTTAACATATTAATAATAATAACGTTCTTTTATTTATTATTAGCCTGGTATTAAAGATGCAAGTACTCTACTTTTTGATGTCATAAAGGAGAGTGCTTAAATAAACATATATATATTTATAATTATTCATGTTCTTTGAAATAACATTTATTATATAATTATTGTATTTAAATTTAAATTTTATAATTTATTGAATTCTTTAAATAATAAATTGGATAAATATTTTTATGGCTGTGTCAATAAATTATAATAATAAAGATAATTTTGATATTTTTTTAAATTTAAATTATAATTACGTTATATTTTGACGGATACACAGAGTCAACAAAGATAATAATCGTTGGCATTTATTTTTGTGGCTTGAATCAAAAATTTCAACATAGCCACTCAAAGCATTCAAAGACAATATTCCAAGAAAAATTTCTTAATATCTTAAGATTTTTTTTTTAATTTTTTTTTTTGAAATTGTATAATGAAAAATCTAGAATTAAAACAACGAATGAAAAATGTGGTAATGATTTTTTTAAATAAATAAATCATATAATTCAATTATATAACTCTATATAACTCAGTTATTGTCGTCCCTTTAATAGTTCATTCGCTTTACTGGATCTAAGTGGATACAAATATTTATATTAGCATCAATTTTGCAGGCCATTATCATCATAGCATTAGAAGTTCGAGTATATTTACGCAACGTTGAAGCCGAATCTAAAGTTAATGATTTAAAAAATAATCTCCCAACAGGAAATAATACAAATTGTCAGCTCGATCCTTCAATTGTAAGAATACAAAATATCGAGAGTGAAAATATTATTTTCATACTTTTTCAGTTATTTCAGATTTTGTTTAGTATAAGTGCTGTGTATAATCAAAACACGAATCAAGTCTTAATAATTACATCTATTAATTTCATATGTGCTATTTATGGAATTGTAAGTATTTATTATTTTATATTTATTAACACCACGGATCCAAAGGAATTATTTATATTTTTTTTGAATAGCTTCAGTGGTTAGAAGTGAAAAAATGGTATAACGATTTGTCAGATGCTTGCCCAAATGAAATAAATGAAATAAATTTCAGCAAACGATTCTTTGGATACGATCTTCCTTTAGTAATCGCTTTATTATTATTTGCTTTGATAATGTCATTACTTTGTTATGAATTGTAAGAATTCCAAGAATTAATTATAATTATATTCTTTTTTTTAATTTTTAAGCATAATTTTTTTATTATTAATTTAACTATTTAATAAAAAAAAATTACAAGGTATCATATATATGGATGGTTTACGTATAAGACGATAGGAGCTGATGTAAAGATTCAAAGTAAAGTAAAATAATTGTGAAATAATTTTTAAATAATTTTTAAAATAATTGTGAAATAATTTTTAAATAATTTTTAAAATAATTTTTAAATAATTTTTAACTATTCAGGGGTATATATTACATACACGAGATTTATAATGATATTAAAATTAGATTGGTTCTTTATGTTTGGTTTTGCAATTGAATCATGCAAAATTTATGTAGACAGAATGCAAGATTTGAGCAACGTAAGGCATGTTAGATATCTTCCTAGACCTTTTTTTATATTTAATATGATTGTGACTGCAGGAATATTTGTTTTCCAATTTTTTGCATATTATTCAGTAAGATATTTCTTATCTTTTATATTTTTTTATGATTTTTATATTTCTTAATAATATTTTATATTTCTTATATTTTAGGCTAAAAAAGAATGGAAAATAGGAAGTTATATCTCTTGTGCCTTTTGGGTTATATGTATCATAGATTTTTGTATTCTTTTATATTTTTCAATAGGAACTGTCAATGATAGTTGGTATTTCTTTATTATTTATGGTAAAGTTTTTTCTATGTATTATATTATTTCATTAATTATCACATTATATCACTTACATTATATCACTTACATTGTATCACTTACATTACATTACATTTTTAGATATAGTTGCAATTATTTTTGCATCGGTTAGTTTCTAATTTGAATGCTAATTATTTAATGTTTTAATATTTCAATCTTTTCTAATTATATATATTTATATCGTATCGATAGGTGTCAATAATATGGAATATTCTAGTTATTTTAAATTTCGGTTTCAAAATACAAGATAAAAGTAAGGTTATTCCAAAAAAAAAAATTCTATCATTTATATAAAATTTCTATATAACAATAACATTTTTATAACATTTCTATAACATCTATATAACACTTATCTAACATTTCTATAACAGTTGACAAAAAGGAAAAACGAAATTCTATACTTTTTCTACATGATGATGAATCTGGAGAAAAATTTACTATTGATGATTAATTGTCACAATAATTTCAATAATCACAAAATCAATGTAAAATACTGTAAATTTAATTTATATAATTTATATAATTTTAAATTATAGAAAATCCATTTTTATTTAGAATTTTTAAAAAAATATAAAATATAAAGAAAAGTAACAAATGGACGGGTATTGAGATAATTTTTGAGAGAAATTTATAATAAATTTAATCGTTCACCTTTAATATCAGTTTGTTTCAGTTTTTTTATATTTTTTTTATCGTTTTTATTGTCTTTATTCAAAGTTTACTATAATAATTACAAAGTTATGTGAATTTATTGTGTTGTCACGATTGTTATTATCTTATTTTTTTTGGACTCACTGATTATTTTTTTATTAACTTAAAATAATTTTGTCATATGATTGTCCTAATTTCGGTCATATAAATATAAAAATTCATTCACACTTGATTTTTTTTTTGCGAACTGGAATGTCGTTTTAACACATGCCAAGAATGCAATTCCGAATATTAGTGCAAACCGTGCACCTCGACACAGTGTTGTCAAGGGACACCTTCGGGACAATGTTGGGACAAAACTTATTTTTTTTAAAATGTAAATTCACAAAATTTTACTTAAAAATCTGCTTTGGGCTATTAATTAAAGTTGTTTGAAATTGATTTTTATATATATTTATAAAGTTTTAGTATCTATTTATAGGTTGGTTAAGGGTAGGAACAGTGAGACATGGGACACAGGGACAGTTAAAAAAGCTGGGACATGCGAATTTGACAACACTGCCTCGACACATTTTAAAAATGATTTTGATAAATGGACAAGTGGAAATGCCACAATAGATAAATTTATTTAAGATGTTCAACTAAATGCTAATATTGAGTATGAAGTAATAGAATGGATACCTTATGATAAATTTCAAGATATTAAGCAAACAGCAAAAGGTGGTTATGGAACTATTTATTATGCTAAGTGGGTTGATGGAAATATTTATAATTGATATATTGAAAATCAATGATGGTATTTTAGATATAAATGAAGATTTTTTGAATGAGGTAAATTAATATTTTAAATTGAAAATTTATTTGAAAATATATAATATATAATATATTAATTTTAATTTAAAAAATATGTTATTTAGATGGCAATTCACGTAATTCTTAGGAGAACAAGTAATGGTAGCAGAATTTTATGGAATTACAAAAGATCCAGAAACTCACGAATATATGATGGTTTTAGAATATTATGAAGGTGGAAGTCTTAGAAATTTTTTAAATAATAATTTTAATAATATCTATTGACTTAGTAAAGTAGACTAATTAGAGGGGTTAACTTTGAAATTTTCAAACATTCATATAAATTAGATATAATTCATTGTGATTTTCATCCCGGAAATATTTAAAAACTAGTTTGGAAGGCAGGTATTTAATTATAACAGATTTTGGATTGAGTAAATTAATTACAGAAAACAAAAAGAATATCATTTCTGGAGTATTACCCTATATGGCTCCTGAAGTGTTAATTGGGGAGAATATACAAAGTCTACTGATGTTTATTCATTTGCATTTTTTGCCTATGAAATCATCACTGGACTTCCCCCATATCACGATGTGCCTCATGATAATGAGTTAGCTTTAAAATGTGTAATGGATTTCGACTAAAAATTCCATTTCACATGCCTAAATTAATTACACGAAAGATTATGCGATGTTGGGACGCTCGAATTACACATTGACCCCCTTTTGAAGAATTACATAAAGAGTTGGGTAAATATTATTGGTATTATAAGAAAAATGATTTTGACATTAATAACGAAATTACAATTCAAATTAAAGAAGCCGAAGAATTTTCCAAAAATCAAACAACACCAATTGATACAACTACAACTCCAATGAATTATGAAACACATCCACAAGCAATTTATACCAGTAGACTTCTCAAATTTTCAAATCTTCCAAAACCTAAAAATGAAGAAAATTTTGAAAAAGAACTTGAAGAATTAACAGAATCCTTTTCTCATATAATTACTAGTAAGTTCTTTTCTGGAAAAGAATGCATACATTTCCTATTTGGGATATATTTGGGATAAGACAGATCTGTTAGTGTTTTATCCGCTCGAAATTAAATTATTATTATAAATTATTATCACTGCAAAAATTAAATGACACAAATAAATTAATATTTTTCATGAAAAATTTACATTCTTTAGATTTACTATTATTAATATAGATTATATTATAGCATGAATTCAAATTTTAAATTAAAATAAAGATTAGCCATTCAATTTTTTTTATATCGAGAAATTTTGTTTAAACAAAAATTAGGAAATAAGAAATTATTATTTAGGAATTTTAGAAAGCATAGACCAAAAAAAAGTTAGGTAAAACAAGTTCAAAATATAGATTACTTTGTATTTCGGTATTAAACTATTTTATTCTTCTTAAATAATAGAAAATGAAAAGCATTAATTATTATAAAATAATACATTAAAGAATTTTTTTTTTTTTTGAATTTATATGATTTAACATCAAATCATCAAAAGTGAAAAGGTAATTCTCAATTAATTATTTATTTTAATTATGTATTTCTTTAAAAGTTAATACTGATGCAATAAATATTTATAGAAAAATTAGTATGTTTAAATTTTTTAAAATTTAATATCAAAATACAATTATCAATTAATATATATATTTTTTATTGAAGAATAAAACAAAAAAAAAAAGATTTTTCAGATATAATATTTGTAACAATCTTGATAATGATGTAGTGATTGATTGTTTCCAATCTTAACCATAAATTCATCTAAAGACATTAATATTATTCCACTCACACCGACTTAAAGCTGTGTACGCTTGTCCCTTTTCAAACATTTGTGTTGAGACTTTTGGAAGAATTATTCCTTGTGCTTTGTGATCTGTAGATTTTAAGATTTTCCTTTTTTGTGGTAATATATTAAACTTATCTCTTATGAATATTTTAGGATTTTGTAATTATTGGAAGGATAACCACCGCCAAATCTCATGAAACAAGCGCAACTGATGAAGCGCCAACTGAATGGGGTTTATGTCAACAATTTTAAAAAAAGCAACTTAAAAATAACTTTACATTATCAATTATCATAAATTTATTTAGCGATACTAAAATAAATTATTTCACTGTTTTTCTTTTCCTTTTTTTATGATTCAAGGAAAATAATTTGTCATATGAAACTGATAGATCTTTTACACAGCTTTTTTTTATCAGGGGTTCTTACTTTTTTCGAAAATTAAATGTAATTATTTCAATCTATACAAAAAAGCTAAGCTAAAACTAAAATCCATTTTCCAAACATGTAATTTTATAAACGTGACCAACCCAATATTTTAATAATCTTATCGATTCCCATAATTTTAGAATTACACAATAACTTATTTTATATAAATATAATTTTGTCATATAATATTGCCTCAAATTAATGAGTAAGGATAATATAGGATTTGGGTGATACCTTATCCGCCATACGCATTTCGTGTATGTGTAGGTTCACCAATATTTGGCGGGGCACAGGTTGGTCATGAGGATGTTTCACCTACTTTGTGGAATATTCTCGTGATGCTGACCTCCCGTGTTTTTTAATCTATAATGATTGTCCTAATTTCAGTCATGTAAAAAAGTCCGAGGAAATTACCTCTTTGTTTAATAGAATTTTACGTGTAATGAGATAAATATAAAAATTCATTGAATTCATCATATTTGATTTTTTTTTTTAAAAAAAAAAAATAAACAGAAATCGAATAAAATGTCGTTACCGACATGTGAAGAATGCAATCGAAAATATTTCGAATATTGGTGCAAACTGTGCATCTCAACACATTTTAAAAATGATTTTGATAAATGGACAAGTGGAAATAACAAATTAGATAAATTTATTCAAGATGCTCAACTAAATGCTGATATGTGTTGAAAAGTAATAGAATGGATACCTTATGATAGACTTCAAGATATTAAACAAATAGCAAAAGGTGGTTATAGTACTATTTATTATGCTGATTGGGTTGATGGAAATATTTATGATTTGGATATTGAAAATCAACGATGGAAAAGAAGTAAAGAAGTCTTAGAAATTATTTAAATAATAATAATTTTAATAATATTGATTGGCTTAGTAAAGTAGACTATTTAGAGGGTTTAACTTTGAAATTTTTAAACATTCATAAATTAGATATAAATCATTGTGATTTTCATCCGGAAATATTTTAAAAACTAGTTTGGAAGGCAGGTATTTATTATAACAGATTTTGGATTGAGTAAATTAATTACAGAAAACAAAAAGAATACCATTTCTGGAGTATTACCCTATATGGCTCCTGAAGTATTAATTGGGGAGAATATACAAAGTCTACTGATGTTTATTCATTTGCATTTGTTGCCTATTAAATCATCACTGGACTTCCCCCATATCACGATGTGCCTCATGATGAAGAGTTAGCTTTTAAAATATGTAATGGATTTCAACCAAAAATTCCATTTCACATGCCTAAATTAATTACACAAATGATTATGTGATGTTGGGACGCTTGAATTACACACCGACCTCCTTTTGAAGAATTACATAAAGAGTTGAGTAAATATTATTGGAATTATAAGAAAAATGATTTTGACAATAATAACGAAATTACAATTCAAATTAAAGAAGCTGAAGAATTTTCCAAAAATCAAACAACAATTAATACAACAACTACAACTCCAATGAATTATAAAACACATTCACAAGCAATTTATACCAGTAGACTTCTCAATTTTTCAAATCTTCCAAAACATAAAAATGAAGAAAATTTTGAAAAAGAACTTGAAGAATTAACAGAATTTTTTTCTCATATAATTACTAGTGAGTATCAATTATCTATTTATTTAATTCATTTTTCATTTATAATTAATTATATTAATTTTATTTTTATTTAGATGATGATATTGATGATTTTTAAATACTGAATATACTGAATATAAATTTGTTTTATTATCTTTTACTTATTAAATTATAAAGC